CGACCATACTCTCTCTCTCTCTCTCTCTCTCTCTGTCTGTCTGTCTTATGCACGTACCCTCTATTTCCCATAAACGCCCACAGTTTTCTGCGTGCCTGCTATTTCCCGTGCGCACCCACACTCTCTCTCTCTCTCTCTCTCTCTCTCTCTCTCTCTCTCTCTTGCGCACGAGCGCTGTATTTTGTGCGTGCCCGCTCTTTCCCGCGCGCGCCCGCTGTTTTCTACGTGCCCACTATTTCCCGCACGCCCATAGCTTTTCTCTCTCTCTCTGATGCACGTACCCTCTATTTCCCACAAACGCCCACTGTTTTCTGTGAGCCTGCTATTTCCCGTGCGCGACCATACTCTCTCTCTCTCTCTCTCTCTCTCTCTCTCTCTCTCTGATGCACGTACCCTCTATTTCCCATAAACGCCCACAGTTTTCTGCGTGCCTGCTATTTCCCGTGCGCGCCCATACTCTCTCTCTCTCTCTCTCTCTCTCTCTCTCTCTCTCTCTCTCTCTCTTGCGCACGAGCGCTCTATTTTGTGCGTGCCCGCTCTTTCCCGCGCGCGCCCGCTGTTTTCTACGTGCCCACTATTTTCCGCGCGCCCATAGCTTCTCTCTCTCTCTGTGATGCATGTACCCTCTATTTCCCACAAACGCCCACTGTTTTCTGTGTGCCTGCTATTTCCCGTGCGCGACCATAATCTCTCTCTCTCTCTCTCTCTCTCTCCCTCTCTCTCTTCCCCCCAGTCTCTCTCTCTCTCTCTCTCTCTCTCTCTCTGTGTGTGTGTGTGTGTGTGTGTGTGTGTGTCTATTTCCCACGAGCGCGCTATTTTGTGCGTGCCCGCTATTTCCCGCAAGTGGCCGCTGTTTTGTGCGTGCCCGCTCTTTCCCGCGCGCGCCCGCTGTTTTCTACGTGCCCGCTATTTCCCGCGCGCCCATAGCCTCTCTCTCTCTCTCCCTCCCCCCCAACCCAATGCAGCGCAGAAGTGCCCGCTCCAGAGCTCTACCAGAAGAAGAAGAAGAAGAAGATGCTTACCGATGGAGGGAAAGCTCGACGGTGGGGCAGGGCGATGGCGAATCCACGGAGGCCGAGGCGGATGGGGGCTGGGCGACGACGTCTCGACCTCGTTCGCATTCGAAGTCCACAGTGAACGGTGTGCACATCTCGGAGGGGTTTGGGAGTGTTTGAAGGGACGGCCTATGTTCAGAAGGTTTCGCGCCCGAATGTTCAGAAACAGGCGGCCTATCTGGGCCGCCGATCTCACCAGATCGACGATCCAGATAGGCCGCTAGTTTTTCAAGATTTAGGCGGCCCTACCAGACACGGTCCGATTTTTTTTGGGGTCGGGAGGCCTCCATGACCCGACCTGCATGGAGGCCTCCCGAACCTAAAAAAATTCACCCCCCCCCCCCCCGTCCAATTCGAAATGCGCAAATGGCAACCAGGGGGGAACCGGTGCGGTCCACCGGCCGGTCCAACCGGCCCCATTCCGGTGGGGGAAGGGGCCCCCGGTGGGACCGGGTATGCAGCCTTGAATTCAACTTAGTTGTTTACTTCAAATTATTTATCCTTGTGTTTGACTTTTCTGAAATTGACCCTGAAGGATTTTTCTGCAATAGTGCCACTGGCCCACTGGGGACTTACTCACAAATAAAAGGTCTGGCAAATATCTGGTCAACGTCCTAGGTTGAAGGGGCCCACTGAGTACCAGAACTCTCTGGCACTTCGGTTCCTTGCCTGAGCAGTGGAAACGATGCAGGGTACCAGTCTCATTGAATCATGAAGCAGGCCCAGGATTTGACGTGGACAAGGGCCAGAGGCCGATGGACTGACAGACTGACAAAACGTTTCTCAAGTCAGCCGGCCAGTTCCGTCTGCACACAGAACTGCCGCCAAATAAGAAAAACGTGTATGCCTCCCACTTGCTGAAGTGTGCGTTCTATGGGGCTAGGGAGGGGTAGCGTCGGCCTAAGTGAGGGTCGCAGCTCATAGGCGCCTGTGATAGCGGTGTTGACCTGTGGGAGGCTATGGTAGGATGAGACAGAGAGACGTGGACTTTGATTTTGTTCTTGAGGTGGCTTCTAGTTGTTGATTTTTTGGTGGGGTTGGAATCTATTTAACTACTCGGCAATCACAACATTTATGGATGATGTTAAGGAGGTCGGAGGGAGAAGTTGGGTCGGGTTAATCTTTACTCCACTCTAATCTGTGTGTGTGTGTGTGTGTGCATCACGGCGGATTTTAGTCGGTTGATTCAACTTGATTGTTCTTGGCCGTTTGAGTTGTTCTCGGCAGGTGCATGCATAGGATGAATCTGACCGGATGGCAACTAGGTACACTGTTTCATAGGGCCTCGCTCCACTACTCTCGAAATGTGCAAAACGAGAGTGAATTGTCCATCAGGACTATCTGAGACTAGGAACCACTATGCGGCTAGCTAGTTGCCTTCGTCACTTTGAGCTTCACGTTGTTGACCACCGGGCTCTCCCTAGGAGTTGACGATTTGTCATGCATAATGTGATGAACAGCTTGTGACTCGTCTCCTTTGTGCGATGTGTCAGTGTGCTGTGTACTGTGTGAACAGTCTGCATTTCTTCCATAATGGAAGTGCAATGAAACAGTCTGTCACAAACCCCCGTTTCTTGCCTTTTTCTCGCCCCCCCATTTCTTGCCTTTTTCTCCCATTCCCCCCGTTTCTTGCCCTTCTTTCCCATTTTGCCTACGGCTCACCGGGCGGTTCTCTGCGACTATGCATATAGTTTTAGTATGCGTCAGAAGACTCAGAACTGATGAAGCATGACTAGATTCAAGAAACAAATGGATGAAAGGAAGCAGCGAGGGTGAACTCAAGAAACAAGATGTGGAAAACCTAGCACAAAGGAAGGAGAAAAACACAAGGGGAGAAGAGAGGCGCAGAGGAAGTTTCCGCCTAGGTTTTTTTCTTTTTCTTCAGAGAGTCCACATGCAAGATTCTCCACATTGGTGTGTTTCAGATGGGACTGTCATTCCTATTTAAGTTTTTTCTTTTTCTTTTTCTTTTTCTTTTTCTCCCAAAAGAGAGGAAGATAAACGAAAAGAAAGGCCAACTCACAAGACCACAAAAGCGGCAAAACTTCGACGATTTGAACGCGCAGCAAAGAAACAAACAAACACGAGCTCCTCAACACAACTCCCTGAACCCACCCCCCTCGCATTCACACCCGCTTCCCTCTGGAAAAAAAAGGCGGCCAAAAACAAAAACGGCACTTGGCCCATAGCGCACTGGGCTCTCGTGGGAAAAGGGTCTTCCCGGAACAACGCATTACGCGAGACCCGCTATTCGCTTTAACAGTATAGGGATGCATAATTTTGACTCCTGCTATCCTCAACTTACCCGCTCTTCGAAAGGAAAAAAAAACTGAAAAATAAAAAAGAACGTACCTGCCTTTATGAAACACGCATGGGCTCTAAGGGAGGTGAAGGCGGAAGCCATAGCTGTCAAAAAGGGCTGAAGAAGAGGAGCAAACTTTTGTCCTGTGAAATAGATGACAACATCAAACGCACTGGAGGTCAGCAACAGGAACGAGGAGGGTGGGGGTGTGTGTGGGAGGGGGGGGTGTATGAAAAAAAAAAAAAAAAAAAAACCAATTTAAATTTTAAACCATGTACATGGGCCTTGCTGGTTGGTTGATGGCAACAGCACTGACACAGCCAAAACCCAAGAACCGAGCAGAATCTGCAGATCAAATGAAGAATTTCCAAATGGAGTGTTGACAGTGCTCAGGCAGATTTAAAAAGCCCAAGCTGCCCTTACGGGTTTCTTGCCTAGATTTGTTGAGAGTCTTGAGACTCTTGAGAGAGTACGGATTTAGGGTAATGTTTTATGATTTTACGACCCGACGGCCGCGCAGAAAGGAAAACAAAACGAACGCAACAAAACGGAGAGAAACGGAAAAAAAAAAAAAAAAACGACGGAAACGAAAACAAAAGAAAACAAAAAGGCAAGACACACAAACGAAAAGGAAAAAAAGCCCGCCCTTTTATCGGATGGCTCACCTCCGAGATGTTCATCCGCATCAACGCCACCCGTGTGCCCCGCCCCTGGGGCGCGCACCCTCCTCGTTTGGTGGCGCACTGTGAACATTTCGGTACGCGCGCCCCTCTGCACACCCCCCCCGCCCTCGATCCCCTTCATCCGCCGCTCCTCGACAAAACTTTGACCCGAATCCAGCGCGCAGCGCGTCATGGACTTCCCCCCGCGGCCAATGCTGCTTAAGGGATAGGATGGTATTGCCACTGAATAGCACAAACACAGCACTAGGCCCCATTGGTGCTATGTTTGTGCTATGCTAGATTCATGCAGTCTAAGTCGACAAACATAGCCACCAGTTGGGGCCTGACCCTAAACATATCCAGAACGAGGGATGGGCACGGTTCCCAACGGCAACCCAATGTTTCTATGTAGAAAGACAGCTTTCTTCATACAGCCACTAGATCGCAGGATCAAGTCCAAGCATAAGAGTTACACTGCTCCTTTGAGAACGACAGCATGCCACAACACTCAATGAACTGACTGGGCATACGCGAGTCGCACACAAACATGAATCCGGTTGTAGAACTGGCTGGGTTCATTTATTATGATACGCCACGCAGGAACATGCCACAATTATGATAATGTCAAGCATGAATCTGGTTGTAGAACTGCCTGGGTTCATTGCCGATGTCTTTGTTCATTTGCTCACCTGTGGCATTCATCGCCTCAATCAGGCATCTGCATATGCCAGCTGCAATGCCGGAATCGGCAGCGTGAGCTGACGTCAGGAGCCTCTCCAGCAATGGCCATGCTACTGTCAAAACAGACAGCATGGGGTCGTCATCCTTCAAACACCCATTAGGAGGTGCCAAGACATCACTGCAGATAGCAGCCAACCTTCACAGCCAACGACGTCAAATAAAAGAATAGTCAGGGCACACCCTATTGTGGATAACAATGCGGCAAAGGGCAGGGGAAAAAAGCAAGAATGCAACAAGGGACAGAAAGAAAGCACCAATACGACAAAGGGCAGGAAAAAGCAAGAATAGGGGTCCTCCGGCCTGACGGAAGGAAGCGTGAGGGTGTTCATATTGTAATTTCTGGACTTGCCGGTGGAAAACGAACCGGACTGATGCTCCCGGGAATGGACATGGAGCCAGGGCCATAAGGACAACCTGTTTTCTTGAGGAAAAAAAAAAGAAAGAGAAAAAGCAAGAATGTGAAAACAGGCAGAACAAAAGCAAGAATATGACAAACGGCAGAAAAAGGAAAGAAATACGACAGAATATGGGGGCCTCACTCCACTTCACAACACTCCATCTATTGGAGGTCATAATCGTCCAGATACATTCCAAATGTTGGACTCCTCCAAACGCACCTGGTCCCGAAAGGCATCAAAATGCATGTAGAGTGTTGAGTAGTGGAGCAAGGCCCTATGACAAAGGGCAGAAGTTAAGCCCTATGAGAAAGGGAAGAAAAAACAAGAATACGACATAGGGAAGACTCGGAAGAGGATGACAAAGGGAAGATAAAGGCAAGAATATGATAAACAGCAGAAAAAAAGAAAGACCCTTCAAAAAAAAAAAAAAAAAAAAGATATCAGCAAAGAAAAGCAAATAAAGACCCTGGAGAGCCCTCCTTGGTTCCCTTTCCATTCTTGTTGCTAACTTCCGCATCGATCAATCCAGCACATCAGAATTGAAAAAAAAACAA